TACGAGTCACTTAGATTTTACAAATACGTGAGCCGTTCACAGCCCGGCACACGTATTTGTAAAATCTAAGTGACTCGTACAACATGGAATTCATATAAAACGGAATTATCAACAGTGTTATAGGGGGTCGACTTGTATACATTTTCATAAACTGGGTTTCATATACAGAAAATATTTAAACTAAACCTTTTAAAAATTAATGTGAAAAGTTGTATTAAAGAATAACTATATTACATAAAGACTCGAGTAAAAGAAGAGAAATAAATAAAGAAAAATTTGTTGTTATATATTTTTGTTACAAAAATATAAATAATTAATAGTATTATTATTAGTAGTAATTTATAAACTTAATAAAGATATTATTGTAAATAAGATAGAATACTTGGTTACCGACGAAACAACTGAAACATAGGGGGAAAAAAATGCAGAATTTAGACAAGAGAAAATTTAATAGATAAGTTATTATGCATAGTCACATGATTGAATCACATGGCTCCTAAATATTTACTAAAACAATAGATTGTATGACTATACTGTATATCTAATAATGTTCTGATGTTGAAAAGGATTTTCCTGCGTAGGGTATTGTTTAAAAAACTGTAAGTAAAAAAAAATTATAATTTTTATTTTATAAATTTTTAAAATATAATAGAAGCTTGTTAATCCGGTATCTACAGAACTAGAATGCTGACAGAATACCGAGAATGCCGGACTAACGGACTTTTGTATTTATACGAAATTCCGTAAGTTATATGTTGAAAAACATTGCTGTATATTTTGTATCAGCGCACGTTGTTTAATCAATTTGAAAATGATACTATGTATACCTGACTATATTCTGAGGCTACAATTATACTGTATTTTAGCACAGTATTGATTGAAAAAACCCTGCAAAAACGTTAATAAATACGTTATTGCACTAGCAATGATTCATGTACAGGCTTATAAGCTATACAGTATAATAGTTATTTTTGAGACATGTACTATACTGTACACATACGAATAAAAAAATTATAAGAAACCTGTTTTTAGATATTTTATCCTTGCCATTGGTCAGTGTAAAACGAAAATATCAGTCGTGCACGTTACCGAACAAAAAACACGTGTGTGCTAGTTCTGACGAAACAATGCTCGTTCTGCATCATGCGTGTAGGCTATAGTTTACTGAATTACACTGAATGAGAGTTTGAGATCCTCCTAACTATTCTTGAGACGATGTCGATGGAACTGCTTCATTCCGCACCCTCTGAAAAGTAACAGAATTATCCAACACTCTGGATTATTTGATGCCGGACAAACTTCTATCATATAATATATTACAATTAATTCTAATACACGAAGTTTGTAACTAGATTTCAGCATAATACCATTATTAATACAATGGGGCACATATACCCGTAACCTAGAGTAAGGAAAATTAAGGGAATGAGTGTACCTAAGAGAAAACTAAAATAACACACTTAAATTTATACCAGGGGTGCACAACCTGCGGCCCGCGGGCCACATACGGCCCCTTATCAATGTTTATGCGGCCTGCGGACGGTACAGGCCAAATCCCTTCTTTCGAAGTTTCTAAGTGTAGAACTTTTCCCTTTCACAAAGTCATTAGCACCCAACTGTTTTATAACTTTCCCTGAAGTCAGAAATGGGGGGTTGTTCTATAAATAAGTCTATTTCTAGCTAACACTTTCTGGTTTAGATATCGAATATTCTAAGTCTAATACATAGTATTATAACGATTTTTTGAAGAATCAAATAAAATAAAATGATGTTAGAACGACATTTCCGATGTTATCAGGAAGTTTCTATTTTGGCGGGAAATCTTCAATTTTATGCTTCGGAAAACTTGCTTATTCGTCTAAATAGCGTCAAATAACAAAAATAA